CTCTCGGCCAGAATACTGGAGTGGGTAGCCTATCCGTTCTGCAGGGGATCTTCCCAACCCAGGGATCTAACCGGGATCTCCCGCGTTGCAGATGGATTCTTTACCAGCTGAGCCACAAGGGAAGCCCAGTTATACTGGAGAGGGGTAGCCTATCCCTTCTCCAGCGGATCTTCCCGACCCAAGGATCAAACCGGGGTCTCCTGCATTGCAGGCAGATTCTTTACCAGTTGAGCCATCAGGGAAGCCCTTATCACTGATCATCAGGGAAATGCAAATCAAAATCACAGTGAGGTATTAACCCACACTGTTAGAATGGCCATCATCAAAAAGTCAGGACATAAGTGTTGGTGAGGATGTGGAGAAGAAGCATCCTTGCACACTGTTGTCAGTTGGTGCAGCCACTGTGGAAAACAGTATGGTGGTTCCTCAGAAAATTAAAAACAGAACTGCCAAGTGGTCCAACAGGTCCACTTTTGGTTATGTATTCAAAGAAAACAAGAACACTAACTCTGCAAGAGATATACACTGCATTGTTCATTGCAGCCTTCTTTACAATAGTCAAGACATGAAAACAACCTGAGTGTTCATGGAAAGATGAATAGATAAGGAAAACAAGTGTGTGTGTATACATACACACACACAATGGAATATTATTTAGCCATAAAAAGAAGTCTTGCTAGTGGACCTTGAGGGCATTATTCTAAGTGAAATAAATCAGGCAGAGAAAGACAAACACCGCATGATCTCACTTAAATGTGAAATCTAAAACAAAGCAAAATAAACTCATAGATTAAAAAACAAACAAAAAAACAGATTGATGATTTCCGGAGGCAGGTGGTGGTGGTATGTGGGAGAAATGAATAAAGGGAGTCAAAATATAGGACTTTTGATTATAACATAAATAATCCATGGAGATGCAATGTACAGTATGACAACTAGAGTTAATAATTTTGTAGTGTGTATTTTAAAATCACTAAAAGAGTAAATCTTTAAAGTTCTCATTAAAAGCAAAATATCTTACATGTATGGGGACATATGTTAACTGGACCCACTCTGATCATTTTGCAGTATATACAAAAAGTGAATCGTTATGTTGTACACCTGAAACTAACATAATGTGTTTCAATCATATCTCAAGTAAAAAAATAAAATCTACATGGAAGTGGCAGTTACTATATTCTAAATTATTTATCAAGTCTAAGGGTATCTCATTTTCTGCTGTCGTTGTTATATACTGCCTCTATGAAATTCACTAGTGTGAGGAAGAAATCGGCAGAGGAGGGAAGAGGACCTGCATCAGAGTGTGTGCGTGTACCACTCAGCCCGGAGCTGCTTGCCTCCCTCTGCTCCACCCATCACCCCCCAGGCCGGTCTTCTACCATCAGCCTCTGCGTGCAGTTCAGATGTATCACCAGCCTCTTTCTGTCCTGATCCACACCCTGCCCCAACCTTTTTCTCTGTGTCTGACCACCAGCGGGCACTATCACTTACCAGCCTTGCCCAACAGCATACTTAGGCAGCCCTCCACTTGACGGATTAGGCCTGTTGCATGTTGGGTTGTCATCGTCGTTCAGTTGCCCAGTCATGTCTGACCCTTTCCAACCCCGTGGACTGCAGCACGCCAGGCCTCTCTGTCCCCCACCACCTCCTGAAGTTTGCCCGAGTTCATGTCCGTTGCATTGGTGATGCTGTCCAGCCATCTCACCCTCTGACGCCCTCTTCTCCTCCTGCCCTCAATCTTTCCCAGTATCATGGACTTTTCCAGTGAGTCAGCTGTTTGCATCAGATGACCAAAATACTGGAGTTTCAACTTCAGTATCAGTCCTTCCAACATGTCAGGTTGCCAGTTAGCAAATGAAAACAGAGGACGCCTGTTACACTTGAACTTCAGATAAACAACAAGTTGTTGTTGTTTGTTTGTTTCTTTTTCTTTTTTTTTTTTAGTATAAGTAAGTCTCATGCAATATTTGGAGTTTACTTGTACTAAAAATTTATTCGTTCATCTGAAATTCACATGTAAGTGGATGTTTTGTGTTTTTCTGGAAACCCCAGTTGTATGTTCATTACATTTTGGCAAATTGAGATAGAAAGATGAAAGGGAAAAGAATATCCCAGAGAAAATGAAATAAAAAATGAGTTTAAAACCTCCCCTATATATAATATGAAGGATATGTGCAAGTTTCTTCCTTTTTTTAACCCCATCCTTGTATAATGTGCCTGGCCTCCCTGCAAAGACTGACACCAATGTCAAATGGTTTTTCAAACTTTTACTGTTTTAATGAAGAAGATAAAACAAGTTATTCATTTAACTTTTGTTCTCTAAAATCTTGTGACTGTGTTTTAAACTGGGAAACCTGTTTGGAAAATTACTTGGAAGACACAGAAGTTAAAATTAAAAAGTGCTCATAGCTTATTTTCAAGGAAGAGTTTTCAGATCCCCCCTGAAAAGTACTTTGTTTCTCCAGCAATACATTTTGTTGTAAAATATGTTAATGACTTCTCTCCAGCTGAAGTTCTTTTTATTGAGATATTTTGACACTAAAAAGCATTAATGCCAGTGATGCTTAAAGCAAGTAATGCAGGCATCCACTAGAGAAATGAGGAAGCTACTCCTGATTTTTTTTTTCCCATCTATAGCTCTGCTGCTCAAGTTTTCAACTGGTTGAGAATCTTTTCATTGGTGGTGTGAGGGTGGATGCTGTTTGCAGAGTTTTCTTCCCAGGCCTGGCCTCTATCTTCCTCAGCACATTTTTAGCAACAGGTACAGACCTCATTCTGTGTACCACTCTCCTATGATCACCAGCCTTCAATACAGATTGTGACTTCCACATTTTCCAGAATTCTCTTGACAAAGAGTAGTGAAATGAAGGTATTTCCGTGGGCCAGTAATTCATTCTCTCTGGGGTTTCTGTGCAAGGTTAAGAAGACATAATTACGGTTAGCAAAACAAAAAAAAAAAAATTATGGTTAGCATTGGTGGCATTTTTAAAATGTATACATTAACACTCTTCTCTTGAAATTGGAAATCTAGAGAATTTTAGCATCTGAGAAAAAAATGAGTTAACCAGCTTCTTGTCATGATTGTTAATATTTTTCATTATTCAGCGTTCTAGCTTTGGATGCTTTTCAGAATTCCAGAAGTATTTTAAATGCACGTGTATCAAATAAAAATAAAGGAGTTTTGAAGACTCTAGTTCTTTTTAATGTAGCTCTGTCATTATATGGCACGCACGTGAGTAAGAAAGGAAACTATTCCATTTTTAATTGCTGTAAACTATAATCATCTGACATAGATCTCTAGTTCAACTTAGGCCCCCCTTTTTTTTTTGAGGGGGTAATTTTAAAGTTGCTTGTTTGTCTCTATCCCTCACTTCTTATTTCTTATCAACTCTTTATTTTTCTAATTTAAAGCTATGATGTAGTTAACACTTACAGTTGCCTCCCTCCCCTCACCTCTAGCTTCCCAGGTAGCACAATAGTAAATAATACGCCTGCCAGTGCAGGAGACATGAGAGACTTGGGTTTGATCCCTGGGTTGGGAGCCTCCCCTGGAGAAGGAAATGGCAACCCACTCCATTCTTGCTTGGAAAATCCCTTGGACAGAGGAACCTGTCAGGCAACAGCCATGGGGTGGCGAAGAGCCGGACACGATTGAGTAACCAGCGTGCACATACACCCTCACCTCTAGGGCCTGGGTGCTTCCTTTGGTTATTCTTCAGCTTCTCTCTCTCCCCATGAGCTAAATATCTTCCTCACCCATTGTTTGTACTATATTTCCTTACTATTCCCACTTACTTTTACATCTCTCCACACAGTTTCTTAGATATTTTTGCTTTTTACCCTCTAACGTGTTCCTGCTTGGAGTTGTATGGGTGATAATTCTTGGGATCTTCAACCTGGTGGCATATTCTGGGACTCGCTCCCCTTCCCTTGGAGACAGAAACATGAAAAATCAGCAGTGTGTCCGGCCCTTCCCCCTTCTTAAACCAGAGAGCTCCTATAACCCCACCACCCACCCCATTCCACTTCTTGTACACATGAAGTCTCTCTGGTCCTGTTGAATTCTCCCCTTTACTTCAAGATTCAGTTTCCTTTTACCGTCTTTGCGTCTTTTCTGATGTACCTGGGAAACTGTTCTCATGCTGCCTCTATGACGGGCGTGTGTCTTTATTATTTGAGTTGTCACGCTCTTAGAATTCAGCTCCATTCAACAACCATGAGGTTTGCTTGCTTGTTTGTTTTTTAGGGAACTGGTACAATACCTGGGATAAAATGCTTAGAATCCAGGGGGCAAGAGAAGGAGGTGGCAACAAATGCTGCATTAGAGTCATTTTGTTCTGTTATATATTTATTGCTGACATAGCTGTTTCCTCCTATTACACCGTGAGTGTCAACAGGACAAAGATAATGTCTTATCTTTTTCTTTCCCCTCCAGGGGAAGACCCTGACTGATGGACTAGAATCAAATGTGTTGTGTGTATGAAGTGTATTTTGTTCTTCTTTTGCTCTGCATACCATAACATACCAAGCCCTTGCCTGTTATCCCACAGCAAACACAGGGTGAAAATGCAGCCTTCTAACTGCCAGTTTGGTGCCCTGGCCATGACACTGTGTAGTTGGAATGTTCCAGTAGTAATGACCACCGCTGCAGGAGGATGCACTAAGTTTGTTCTTGGTTTTTAATCATAAAGTAGGTAATACATGCACTTAATACCATATTCAAAGAAAGTCTCCCTCCTAACCCATTATTAGAGATCCCTGTTCCCCTCCAGAGGCAACCACTGTTTTAAGTTCTTTGTGTATACCTTAAGTTGTTTTCTGCATATAAAAACACATACTTTCCTATGTGTCTTTATGTACATACATACTCTTTTTTTTTTAATTTATTCATTAAAAAAATAAAATTTATTTATTTTTTAATTGAAGGGTAATCACTTTACAGAATTTTGTTTTCTGTCAAACCCCAACACGAATCAGTCATCAGTATACATATATCCCCTCCCTTTTGAGCCTCCTTCCCACCCATCTCAAATGCTTCTCCTTTTCACTTTATAATGTGTCTTGAAGATAATTTCAATCTGTATATGAAGAGCTGCCTTTTTCCTTCTTATAAAAAAATTGATGTATATGTGCTGCTCCAGATGTGTACTGTATTTATTTAAGTAGACTCTTACTGATAGATCTTTGGATAACTTCTGATCTTTTGATCTTATACTCATTGTTGCAGTGTATAATCTCACATGTCATTTCATGCATGTATAAATATTAACTGTAGGATAAATTTCTACAAGTGGAATGACAGGATCATAGGTGTGTGCATTTTAAGATCACGCTCTTAGAATTCAGCTCCATTCAACAACCATGAGGTTTGCTTGCTTGTTTGTTTTTTAGGGAACTGGTACAATACCTGGGATAAAATGCTTAGAATCCAGGGGGCAAGAGAAGGAGGTGGCAACAAATGCTGCATTAGAGTCATTTTGTTCTGTTATATATTTATTGCTGACATAGCTGTTTCCTCCTATTACACCGTGAGTGTCAACAGGACAAAGATAATGTCTTATCTTTTTCTTTCCCCTCCAGGGGAAGACCCTGACTGATGGACTAGAATCAAATGTGTTGTGTGTATGAAGTGTATTTTGTTCTTCTTTTGCTCTGCATACCATAACATACCAAGCCCTTGCCTGTTATCCCACAGCAAACACAGGGTGAAAATGCAGCCTTCTAACTGCCAGTTTGGTGCCCTGGCCATGACACTGTGTAGTTGGAATGTTCCAGTAGTAATGACCACCGCTGCAGGAGGATGCACTAAGTTTGTTCTTGGTTTTTAATCATAAAGTAGGTAATACATGCACTTAATACCATATTCAAAGAAAGTCTCCCTCCTAACCCATTATTAGAGATCCCTGTTCCCCTCCAGAGGCAACCACTGTTTTAAGTTCTTTGTGTATACCTTAAGTTGTTTTCTGCATATAAAAACACATACTTTCCTATGTGTCTTTATGTACATACATACTCTTTTTTTTTAATTTATTCATTAAAAAAATAAAATTTATTTATTTTTTAATTGAAGGGTAATCGCTTTACAGAATTTTGTTTTCTGTCAAACCCCAACACAAATCAGTCATCAGTATACATATATCCCCTCCCTTTTGAGCCTCCTTCCCACCCATCTCAAATGCTTCTCCTTTTCACTTTATAATGTGTCTTGAAGATAATTTCAATCTGTATATGAAGAGCTGCCTTTTTCCTTCTTATAAAAAAATTGATGTATATGTGCTGCTCCAGATGTGTACTGTATTTATTTAAGTAGACTCTTACTGATAGATCTTTGGATAACTTCTGATCTTTTGATCTTATACTCATTGTTGCAGTGTATAATCTCACATGTCATTTCATGCATGTATAAATATTAACTGTAGGATAAATTTCTACAAGTGGAATGACAGGATCATAGGTGTGTGCATTTTAAGTCACGATAGGAATTGCCAAATACCCCCTAGACAAGATGTTGCAACATAGATGCTCATCAACAGGGTCGTTCCCCCACACCCTCTCTGACATACTTTGTCAACTGACTTTTAAAATCCTTTCCTATTAGAGAAAGACATCTTCTTGTAGTTTTCATTTGTATTTCTTTTTCGAGTGTAGTGACTCAGTTGTCAGAAATAGCCACAAAAGATAGAATAATTGAATCTTTGATTTTATGTAGCTGTCTCCACATTTAAAACTTGAAATTCTGACACATAGGTTGGCTTGGCAAAAAAAAAAAAAAAATGTTCATTCAGGTTTTTGTGTACCATCTTACAGAAAAACCTGAAAGAATGTTTTGGCCAACCCAATACGTACCAGCTGTGTACCTTTGCCAAGAAACTGAAACTGTATTTATCTCCATTTTCTCCTATGCAAAATGAAAATGTATATAACCCTAAGAAAAGAAAAAACTCTAGCTATTATAATAGTGAGACACCATTCATTAGAAGATGCATCTCAAACTGAGAAATGCTAAAATGTAAAGGAGAAATGTGCAGTTAAGAATCAGTGAAATTTGCTTGTACCCTGCATCATAGGGTTGTCCTGAAAATGAAAAGCATTTGAAATAGCACCCAGAGGCACATAATAAGTGCTCAAAAATGTCCACTATTGTTCTTGCAGTAAAATCATAATTAACAGAATATCAGCTCCACCACTAGTACTAAACATATAGTACATTCTCAATAAATAACTGCTGCTGTAATTATTTTTATTATTAATGCAAAATTTATTGTTAGAATGTAATCAGGGATTTTGTTGGTTTTCTTCAATGATGTTTCTCCTCCATCGGAAACAGTGCTGGCCTATGGCAGGTGCTCTATAAATGCATGTTGATTGAAGAAATTAATCTACTGCCTCCTCCAAAGCTTCAGCAGAATTGTATGTAGAAATCTTCATTTTTTCTGAGTAGCAGCATTTGGGGATCTTAGGGTTCTGTGGTTTGGGCTCTTCTCTCCCACCCCCGCAGCCACCTCCATACTCACTGAAACTCCTAGACCTTATTAAAAAACACCTGCTTTAATTCCAGAAATAGCAGAGCCCTATGGAGCTCAGTGTAAACACTTAAAAACCTGTATTTATAAAGCTAAAAACTTTGAATAGAAAGAATTCTTCAGAATATTGTTAGTATAATTTTTTTTTTCCAAACAATAGTCAGACTATTGTTCGGTTGGAAAAAAAAGAAATAGCTTTATATAATCTGTACATGATTCTAGGGCTTCCCAGGTGGCGCTAGTGGTAAAGAACCTGCTTGCCAGTGCAGGAGACATAAGAGATGTGGGTTCAATCCCTGGGTTGGGAAGATTCTCCTGGAGAAGGGAATGGCAACCCACTCCAGTATTCTTGCCTGGAGAATTCCACGGACAGAGGAGCTGGGCAGGCTATAGTCCATGAGGTCACAAAGAGTCAGACNCCCAAGGGTACCAAAATTCACAGATGCTCAAGTCCCTGATACAAGATGATAATAGTATTTGTATATAACCTACACACATCCTCCCATGTACTTTAAATCATCTCTAGGTTGCTTATAATACCTTGATGTTCAGTTGCTAAGTGATGTCCAACTCTTTGTGACCCCATGAACTGCAGCATGCCAGGCTTCCCTGTCCTTCACCGTCTCCTGGAGTTTGCTCAAAGTCAAGTCCATTGAGTTAGTGATGCCATACAACCATCTTACTCTCTGTTGCCCCCATTTCCTCTTGCCTTCAATCTTTCCCAGCATTGGGGTCTTTTCCAGTGAGTCAGCTCTTCACAATCAGGTAGCCAAAGTATTGGAGCATCAGTTCTTCCAATGAATATTCAGGTTTGATTTCCTTTAGGATTGATTGGTTTGATCTTGCTGCCCAAGGGACTTTCAAGAGTCTTCTCCAGCACCAGAGGTCAAAACCATCAATTCTTCAGCACTCAGCCTTCTCACTCCAACTCTCACATCTGTACATGACTAGTGGAAGAAACATAGCTTTGACTATATGGACCTTTCTTGGCAAAGTAATGCCTCTGCTTTTTAATACCCTGTCTAGGTTTATCATAGCTTTTCTTCCAGGGAGCAAGTGTCTTTTAATCTCATGGCTGTAGTCACTGTCTGCAATGATTCTGGATCCCAAGAAAATGAAATCTGTCACTGTTTCCACTTTTTCCCTATCTATTTGCCCTAAAGTGATGGGACCAGATGCTATGATCTTTGTTTTTTGAACATTGAGTTTTAAGCCAGCTTTTTCACTCTCCTTTTCCACCTTCATCGAGTGGCTCTTTAGTTCCTCTTCACTTTCTGCCATTGAAGTGATATTATTTGCATATCTGAGGTTATTGATATTTCTCCTGGCAGTCTTCATTCCAGCTTGTGAGTCATGCAGCCTGGCATTTCACGTGCTGTAGTCTGCATATAATACCTAATACAATGTAAATTCTGTGGAAATAATTGCTCTGTGTGTGTGAGCTCAGTTGTGCCCGACTCTTTGCAACCCCATGGACTGTAGCCTGCCAGGCTCCTCCATCCATGGAATTTTCCAAGTAAGGATACTGGAGCAGATTGCCATTTCCTTCTCCAGGAATCTTCCTGACCCAGGGATTGAACCCTCATCTTTTACATCTCCTGCATTGACAGGCAGGTTCTTTACCACTAGCACCATCTATGAAATACAGGAGATATGGAATATAGACTTCAAGTGTGTGTATGTGTCTTATAAATATTTGTGGGGTATGTGTGTTTAAGTGTGTACAGAGAGGTGCATGTGTGATATGATGAAAATATAAGCTCTAGCTAATATCAAGGTTGGGCTTCCCAGATGGCACAATGTTTGAGAACCTGCCTGCCAATGTAGGAGATGCAAAGAGACATGGGTTCGATCCCTGGGTCGGGAAGATCCCCAGAGAAGGAAATGGCCCCCTCCAGTGTTCTTGCCTGGAGAATCCCATGGACAGAGCAGCCTGGTGGGCTATAATCCATGGGGTCACAAAGTGTCAGATGCAACTGAGCACGCAAGCAATATCAAGGTTAGCTTGAATAACTTAATTCTCCACAAATAGCCAATTTCTGGGTAATTGTTCCCACCTTAGAAGTGACCTTAAAATTCTTTGAATAGCTTCAACGGTACTCAAAAATTAAATGTGGATGTTTTTACCTTAAATTTAGTTGAGTGTTTGAGTGACAGTTGGGTTGAAAATCCAGCTATCTCTTAAATCAGCAGAGCCTGGCCCTGCTCTCGGGTCCTTAGTGAAGGAAAGAGGGCCTCTTGCTCTTGTATGAGCATCTTGGTGTAGATGGAGGTCAATCCCATGGGTTATAAAAGTCCCTTTTTATCACAGCCCCATTTGCTGATGGGTTTATCTGACTTTAGAGTCGCTTACCTTTCACTTACTTGAAGAAAATAAGGTCAAAACCTGAAAGTTTGCTCTGAAAAATTGAGGCAAACCTGGTTTCTCCTGCTGAAATGCTGTCACAATCTATAGTGAGGTTAGAACAACAGAAGAGAACTGCTACTGAGTTACCCTCCAGTGTTCTTGCCTGGAAAATCCCATGGACAGAGCAGCCTGGTGGGCTATAATCCATATAATCCATGGGGTCACAAAGTGTCAGATGCAACTGAGCACACAAGCAATATCCAGGTTAGCTTGAATAACTTAATTCTCTACAAATAGCCAATTTCTGGGTAATTGTTCCCACCTTAGAAGTGACCTTAAAATTCTTTGAATGGCTTCAACGGTACTCAAAAATTAAATGTGGATGTTTTTACCTTAAATTTAGTTGAGTGTTTGAGTGACAGTTGGGTTGAAAATCCAGCTATCTCTTAAATCAGCAGAGCCTGGCCCTGCTCTCGGGTCCTTAGTGAAGGAAAGAGGGCCTCTTGCTCTTGTATGAGCATCTTGGTGTAGATGGAGGTCAATCCCATGGGTTATAAAAGTCCCTTTTTATCACAGCCCCATTTGCTGATGGGTTTATCTGACTTTAGAGTCGCTTACCTTTCACTTACTTGAAGAAAATAAGGTCAAAACCTGAAAGTTTGCTCTGAAAAATTGAGGCAAACCTGGTTTCTCCTGCTGAAATGCTGTCACAATCTATAGTGAGGTTAGAACAACAGAAGAGAACTGCTACTGAGTTGTCACTGAGTTCGCGCCACCGAAGGTCAGCAGCTGCCGAGGCTTCAGGTCCTTCGGTGATGCCTCTCTGCCTGATGACTGAGTTCAGCTTCTCTTTTTGGACTTGATAGGTGTAAACATCCACCAGTCTTCACTTCAGTTGTAATATGCAAATATACTCATTTTAATTAAGACATGGTTTTAATTCAGGGATGAGGACGCTTTTTCAGATTAAGTATTTATGATGACAAATTCTGAAGATGGAACACACATGTATTTTAAAATGTCCCTTAAGAATTGCAAAACCCTTGTCTAAGGATATAATTTGCTGACTTTCAGGTTCATAGTGTAATACACACATATTAGCTTGTTGATCTCTTCCAGGGTTTCCCCTCACCTCCCCGGTCTCCCCTGCAGATGCTCCTCGTTTGTGTCTCTGACGAAGGTAGCTCTCGCCCATTCACAGTAGTGTTCTATTCCTTGCGTGCCCGTGGATGCTCCCAGGAACCTGAGCATCCATGCAGCAGGCTCCAAGGCATCTCCTTTTGAATCATCCCTTAAACTCACCACGTCCTGGACTGGATTTACTCCCTCCCTCCACTCCACACCCAGCACACCTCCTCTGTGTTTACCACCTTGACAAATGCCAACAGGTCATCCTGGCTCCTCAGCCACAGTCCAGGATGGCGTCCCTGGCCTCTTCCCTCCCCCTTTACCCACCACCTTTGCCTGGACAGATTTTCCCAGATCTCCTCCTGTGCTTTATCTAGATCTGACCATGGTCTTCATTGCAGACACCCTCATGGGGGCCTCTGACAGTTCTCGCCCGAGTTTCTTCACCTGCCCAGACTGATTTCCCTGTTTGCATTCTCACTGTGCTCCCAAACCCCAATCTGTTCTTCTACTGCTTTCTTTTTTCACCTGGTTGGTTGATTGTGTTTTTTAAACTTAATAGTAGATTGTTTATTTTTCTGTCGCAGTGTAGTTGTTTGCGACTATAGTTGTGTGATTGTAGTTGTGTAGCTGTACAGTTGTCATGTCAGTTTCTGCTGTAGCGCAAAGTGAAACGGCTGCACATACACTTTTTCCTAAGATCTTTTTCCCATATAGGTCATTATGAAGTATTGAGTAGAGTTCCCTGTGCTGTATAGTAGGTCCTTATTGGTTTT